GAGACCCTGTCTCAAAAAAAAAAAAAAAAAAAAAAAAAAAAAAGGGAAACTAGGGCAGGCTGGATCCTCTGCTTTCATCTCACAGCCTGCCCCACATTCCTTATCACAAACTAGGGCTCTGGTCCTGATAGAAATCCCTAAACAGAGATCAAACAGCTATACAGCTGGGACTCTAAGCCCTGTAAGCCCTAGGTTTCAGTATCTGTGTGTGCGCACCATGAGGAATGGGGGCTGAGAGATGTAGCCCGAGCTGACAAGGTCTGGAAATAAATGGCCGGTTTTGTGTGAGTGGCAATTAAACTTTTGCATGCCTGGCAGCGGAGAAAGTCAAGCCACTTAGACTCTCAGTCACAGAAGAAAAGGTTAGCGAATGTGTGTCTGGGGATGTTGAGGGCATGTGGGGTAGGCAGGTCCCCTTGTGCAGAGACCAGGGAGAGGGACACTGCCTGTGGCTCCTACACCCCTCCCTCCAGGTCTGGTTGAGATCCCAGTTCCTCCTATCATGCCCACACCCTGAGCCCTCATTTCCCTCTTCCTGGGAACTTTTACCAAGAGGAGGAGCTGACACCTCCTCCTCCATCCCAGTTCTAAGAGATGACTTTAGATCAATAGGGGAAATGAAAGTGACTTTCCACCACAGAAGCACTGCTCTTCCAGAGTCATCAAAGAGGACTCAGGAGACATGAACAGGGATCTGCTTTAGGGGGCCTGTCCCGGCACAGAAGATGGGGCCAAACCTAAGAAGCCAAGTATATAGGTAAAGATTTCAACTCATACTATAGTTAAAACCAGAGAATATGACTTTGGGGAGCTTCAGAAAAACTTTTAATAAAGAAGTGAAGAAGGCAGTTGTAGGAAGGGAAGCAATGCCCACTGAGGGCAGTGGGCATAGGTACAGCACTCGGGAATATACAATGAAAGCCAGTGTGGTGGCTCCCATCTGTAGCCCAGCACTCAGCAGGCAGAGGCAGGAGGAATGCCCAAGCGTACAGTCAACCTCAGCTACAGAGTGAGCCAGGGCTCAGTGCTAGGCCAGCCAGGGCTACCGTGAGTGAGACTGTTCCCCAAAACAAAATGAGAATGTGCCAAGGTGGGCCATCTCCTGGGAGCCCCTGCAACTACTGCCACTTCCCACCCCAGTATGGACACAGTGGGGGCACTGACCTCTGTGTAGATGGAAGGTGTCAGGTGGCACAGAAGTCGCACATCATCCTCTTGGCAGGCCTTCATGTCCATCATTAGGCAGGTGTGTAGATCACCCAGCTGGGTAGCCTGGGCAAATGACTCGTACAGGTTCATCTTCCCTGCAGCAGCTTTGCTGAAAAACCAGTTATGATTAAGCCAGCAGCCTAACCGGGACCTCAAACACCCCCAAGTAGGTGCCTATGCTGCCGAGTGCTCTGCCCTGAGTGCCCTGTGCCCACCTATCCCATGTTCCTACCTGCTATCCCCGAGGGCCTCGCAACTTAAAGACCCGGAGATGTTCTTCCTTCTCATGCTTCCCCAGTGAACACTCCCAGTGAATACAGGGAAGAAGGGCTGCAGAAGGCTTTCTCTAGCCATAAGAAGGGGCAAATAAGACCATATACAAAACCTAAATTGGCACAGACTTATATGCAAGAATGACCATGTGGTTCTTAGCAACAACACGACCAACCAACTATAGGAAGCTGGGCGTATCAGCAAAGGACTGTAAACCCCTGAACTTAGGAGGATGAGGCAGGAGGGCCTTTGGACCCTGTCTCAAAAAGAAAACAAACAAGCCAGTCCTGGTGGTGCACGCCTTTAATCCCAGCACTTGGGAGGCAGAGGCAGGTGGATTTTTGTGAGTTCCAGGCAAGCCTGGTCTACATAGTGAATTCCAGGACAGCTGGGGCTACAGGGAGACCATCTCAAAAAGACAAAAAAAACCCAAAAAACCCAACAACAACAACAATAAAAAAACCCAAGTAGTAGTGATGCAAACCTATACTGGCAGCACTACAGAGGTGGAGGCAGGTAGAGGCAGGAAGATCAGAGGGTCAAAGTACAAAGTTTGAGGTCAATCTCAGACGTCCCAAAGAAAAGAACAAGCCGGGCGTGGTGGCACACGCCTTTAATCCCAGCACTCAGGAGGCAGAGGCAGGAAGATCTCTGTGAGTTCAATGTCAGCCTGGTCTACATAGTGAGTTCCAGGACAGCTGAGGCTACAGGGAGAATCTGTCTCAAAAAGACCAAAAAATAAATAAAATAAAAGAACAAAACGAGCAACAACAAAATCCCAACCAAACAAACACCAAGGACTGGGGGTATAAATGAATGGGGGCAGTACTTGCCTAGCATGGGCCCAATCCCTAGCACCACAAGATAATAACATACATTAGAAAGCAAGTAAAGATATTTGAACTCTCACACACTGCTGGAGGGAATGTAAAGTAGCTGTAGCTACTTTGGAAAACAGTTTGGCAACCCTGGCGGGATGTGATGATAAAGATGCTGTCTCTCTGACCTCTACACACATAAACACACATGAATATGCACACACACGTGTATACCCACACCCACAACAAAGTATACAGTTCAGTGGATTTTATAAGCAAAGTTATACAAATATGCTGCTGCCTAACTTAAAACTGTTCATCACTCACAAAAGAAACTCATACTGGTTTTGAGACAGGTTATAACTATGTAGTCCTGGATCTGGCCTGGAACTCATTATGTAGAGCAGACTGGATGGTCTCAATCTCACAGAGATCGGCCTGCCTCTGCCTCTTGAGTGTGGGATTAAAGGTGTGCACCACCACAACCAGCTGAGATATGTATACTTTAAAGGATTAATTAACCAGGTCTTGTTGTGCAGGCCTATAATTCTGGCTATTTGGTAAGTCGGTAGGAGGATGGAAAGTTCAAGATCTGTCTGGGCTACAAAGTAAGCTTAAAGCCAGCCTGAGAAACTGGTCTGGGTCTGGGCATGGTGGTGTGTATCTGTAATCCCAGCACTTAGGAGGCCAAGGCAGGAGGATCAGGAGTTCACAGTCATCCTTGGCTATATATTGGGTTTGAGGCCAGCATGGAACTGTCTCAAATCACAACAAAAAAGGCTGAGGATATGGTTTAGTGGTAGAGTGCTTGCTTAGCACATAAGGCTCTGGATTCAGTCCTCAGCCCTGCAAAATCAAACAACAAAACACTTAGCACACGTTATACTTATATCCATGAAGATTACCCTAAAAGTTCGTAAGTGGATCCATCACTGACAGGCAATTGGATCTTTTTTTGGTCTTGAGACAGGGTTTCATGTAGCCAAGGCTGGCCTTGAACATCTGCCTCCACTTCCCAAGTGCTTAGACAGCAGGAGTTAGAAATTGAGAATTCTAACCTAAAAAGTAGATTACTCCACTGATGGAGTCAAAATTTGATAGTATATTGGAAGGTAGTGGAAACTTCTGCAGGTGAGCCTGGTTGAAGGGCCTGAGGCATGAATCTGAAGGGATGTCTCTTGCTCTTCTCTGTTACTCTCTTCTTCCTGGTTATGGGCTGGACAGCCTCCTCTGCCACATGCCCACTAAATGGTATCCTGTCTTACCTCAGGTGTAAAAGAATGGATCCAGGGGCTGGAGAGATGGCTCAGTGGTTGAGAGCCTTTTTTGCAGAGGACCCGGGTTCAATTCCCAGCACCCACATGGCAGCTACGAACCATCTTTAACTCCAGTTCCAGGGGAATGTGAAGCCCTCTTCTGACCTCTGCAGCATTGCATGAACGGGTGCACTCACATACATGCAGGCAATACACTCATACATATAAAATAAAAATAATAAATAAAATATTAAAAAAAAAAAAAAAGAATGGATCCAGCTGACCTTGGATCAAAACTTCTGAAACCAAGAACCAACATAAATCTTTCTTCCTTTAAGTGGTTTCTCTCAGGTTACAAATGCCACAGCAATGTAAAACTGACTAAGCCAGCATGCAAAGAGCCTGGCCTTAATCCCCAGCATCAAAACAAACAAGTAAAATGAACTGTGTTGCTGCCAAGGACAGGGAAATTAATGTGTAAGAGAGGCTCTCCAGGATGCCCTTGTAAAACACAGAGATGACACGTACCTTGCCCTAAGGTAGTAGAGCAGGTGGTAACCAATCTTGGGCTGCTTCTGATAAAGCTCAGAGAGAAGGTCCAGAAGAAGTGAAAAGCTGCTGTTGTCTTCTTGCATCTGGCACAGGTTCCTAGAGGTGGGTGGAAGGAGAGGTGGCTAGCAGGCAGGCTCCTAAGGAGCTTCTGGGGTGGAAAGGATTGACTGCCCACTGAATACCTCCTAATCCCTGGAAAAGGAGCCCCAGGAGCAGGACAGGAACATATGTTTGCTGTTAGGGAGGATGGTAAGCAGAGAAGGCTCTCTTCAGCTGAGTGCTTACCTAAATATTAGGTAGAGAGGTTTTCCTACAGACTCCTCCAGGGACCTAAAAGAGGAAGGTGACATGTGAGAACCTCCCCAAGGGAAGAGTATCTACAGGCAGATAACACAGAAGCCCAGGTGTCTGCCTGCTCCTTTCCTACCTAAAGGCAAACTTCCTGCTGCCTAGAGGTTTGGTAATAGAGACAGGCTCCTAACACAGAAACAGAATCCGAGAGCGTCATCCTCACTGAAGGTGAGAATCTTGCCCTTCAGGGGGAGTCCAGGCCAAAGTCCAATCCACCAGAAGCAGCAAAGGTTGGGGGCTACTGGTTTGGCAGTAGGGCTGGAAAAACAGGGCAGGGATGCTAGTCCACTGGCCTAGTACTATCCTTAGGGTCCAACAGGCAAAACTGTTTCAATGCATTACTTCATGTAAGGGTTGAAATATCAGGTATTTTAATAAAGAGTACTTTTTCTCAAGTCCATAGTAAGGTGCTTCTTGGAGCTGAAGGAGCACATACAGGCTCCTGGGGCCCAAGATGTCAGAGAAGAGGACTCTTACTCTTCAGTGACCTCTTCAGGCAACACCTCTCCTCGAAAGTGGGCCTTGAAGAGCTCCTGCAGGCAGGAAGCAAGGACAGACAGCTGCTCCGAGTCAAAGTCTTCCTGGGTGGTTAAGACAAGAGAGAGGAGGAGGTATCATGACCTAGACCCACATACCTTACTAACCCAACCTGCCCAGAGTCTCTAAGCTTATCTGCTTCCAGCTCCCAGATCAGTTCACTCCTACACTTGCCTCTAGGAGAGGGGAAGGTGGCAGTCAGAGTCCAGTGAAGCATGAGGAGCTATAAACTGGGAAGGCTGGGCTTCCCCTTACCTCCAGGACCTGGTCCACAATTTCCTGCATGACCTCACACTGGGCCTCCGTATCACTGTGTATAGGAGTGAGAGGATATCAGTGACAGACAGCGCAAGACATACCCCAAACTGAGCACACTCACACCCAGACCTAAAAAAAAGAGCTCTGGCCAGGCATGGTGGCGCACGCCTTTAATCCTAGCACTCAGGAGGCAGAGGTAGGCGGATCTCTGTGAGTTTGAGGCCAGCCTGGTCTCCATAGTGAATATAGGACAGCTGGGGCTACAGGGAGACCCTGTCTCAAAAAGGCCAAAAAAAAAAAAGTACCTCCTAGGGTGGGGAGCAGGGTTTCTACCCACCTTCCCTTCTGTAGCTGGAGCACTTTGTCCCTTAGAGACTCATCTAACTGATCGAGGTAAGGCGTGATATCAACCGGCTCCTCTACAACTGTCTCCTTGATTGGATGAAAGCGAAACTCTCTCTTCTTTCCTGAGAGAACGATGAGAGAAGAAGTGCAGCACCAGAGACAGCTCCCCGAAGCACTTGTCCCTTCCTCACAGCCCTGAGTCTGCTCACACAATGCAGTGTGAGTGTGAGAACCAGACTGTGCATGTCCCACAAATACCCACAAATGGGCAGGATCACTTTCTTTTACCCCTGCTCTTAGTGTCAAGCGCTAGGCTCTGCACCCTTGAGCCTCGCCCAGCAATGAAAAAAACTCATTTATCAACAGTGCTAAGTCAGAAAGACCTGTGAACCAGTCCTCCTGGGCTGTCAAACTCTTGCTAGCCTCACCTTTGCTATTGAGATCCTCCTCATCATCACTGAAGGCCGCTTCTGCATTGTCATAGCAACTCTCATCCTTATCTGACAGATGGTTGTCCATTTCAATGGAAACTGGCTCTTCAATTTTGACTTGTGAGTAAAGAAAGAAAGACCCCTGATGACCCCAGGTTCCCTCCAGTATGTCCCCACGCTTCTGGGAAGAGACTGGTGGGCAAGAGGGAGAATACGGTTTGAGCCCTAAGTGGGACACTGATACTGGAGTAAGAAACTTCTCACAGTCCTCCAGGACCCTCACAGAGATGTTGCCAGAACAGGAACAGTGCAGCACACGGATTCTCTATGCTCAGCTCGTGATGTGTGAGTAGAATAGGACCGGGGGTAGTCTTTTTCTTTCCTTTTTTTTGAGACAGGCTACCCAGGCTACTCTTGACTTCCTGATCTTCTTGCCGCCACACCCCCAGTGCTGGGATTACAGGCATGCACCACCATGCCCAGCCACTGGTGTTCTTTAATTTAAAACCAAGTTGGGAAGTAGTGCTTGATTTAAGACCTTATCCCAAAACAAAAGTAGAAGCTGGTCTTGTGGATGGGAATCTGAAATAAGGAGCAAAATCTGAAAATGAAGATGGCAATCTCTGAGGTGGGGTCAGGCTGAAGGCTGGGAAGAGAGGAGGTGAGTGAGTGGCAAGGAGGCAAACATCCCAAGAAAGCCTTGCACTCACTCAGAAGAGATTTCTAAGGGAAGAGGAAGAGGAAAACTGTTGACTGGAAAACCAAGTAAGACTAAAGGAAGAGGGAATCGGAAGAGACACGACAACAATTGATTAGGAGAGAAGTCAGGGAAGGGTCAACTGAGGTGAGCATCAGAGTGGAGCGCCTCAGGGATAACATCCTAGCAGGTCTCTAGCCTCCATCTAAAATGCTTCTCTCCCTCTTCTGGCACAGGCAACACAGAGGGACAGCTTCCATACCTTCCACAGGTGGGGAGGGTGAGCTGCAGAACTCAGGAAATTTCTCTCGAAGCATGGCCCGCAACTCTTTATCCAATTTAGGGTTGTCAAATAGGGGAGCCAAATGTCTAACAGAGAACACAAATGAAAGTCAACATCAGAGCTGCTTGCTGCTAATTCAGCATGGAGACAGACAGACAGTCAGACAGCACAATCGTGCCATCCTCAGACCCTTCATAGCGTGAGCAGGGGGCAGGCAGGCCTTTGAAGCCTTCTGTAATATGATGGCTCAGAAATGCCTGAACCAAGAGGACATTCACCCACCAGTAGAAGGTAAACTCAGTACTTTTTATAGCTGTCAGGGGAAAGGGCCAGTCTGCAGCTGGTATGACAATATCTTAGGTGGCATCTGATCTAGGGGGGGTGGACCTAATAAAGAATGGGAGACCCTTCCCCCACCCCCAACACACACCCAGATTCCTTACGCCAAGACCCGTTTCTCCACAATGTGGTTGAGGGAAGAAAAGACACCCTGCCGCACATGGCCCTCCAGTGGTGGGTAGAAGTTAGGGATGATCTGAAGGGAACAAATGGAGGGAATAACCACAGTGCTTTGCTGAACTAGTACTTAAAAGGTGTTTGGTTGTGGTCAAGGGACAGAGGGACAGTATGGCTGCAGAGAGGACTGCAGTGTTCCTGACAAACCCAGGCTACGAGGACAAGATACTTGTACTGGACCCAGCTGTTCCTCAAGGAGACTAGACTATATGGAGTCACCATCTTGCATTTGAGGAACCCTACAGTAACAAGGGCCGATCACACTGGAGATACCATTTGTTAACTCATGATAGGGCCACAGTCGAGGCACTGGAAAGACCCAATCAGGAAGACTAGCAGAGGGAACTGAACTCTGCTTGTCCAGAAAGGGGAAGATAAGAGGGCCACAGCACTTACACGGCACATGAAGTCCAGGAGTGTGGCAGTGATGGCTGGGTGGGGCTTCATGGAGTGATGCATGACCAGGATGGCTGGCTCTAGAGAATGTGAAATTAAAAGGACCCCCCACATCAGACACTCTGTTCCCATGTCCACTAGCAGTACGTCAGTACACATGAATGTCTCCGGAAATGCTGTCTATTCCCTGATTCCTATTAAGCAGACTGCCCTCCCCAGCTGTGTAAACCTTCGTCTCCCTCCTTGTGCCCAGCATTAAGCCAGGAGAAAGGGACATAGGAAGAGAGGAAAAGCAGGACGTGACATAGCCTTGTCCTCTGCCTAGGCCCTCCCCGCTCAGAGCCCAAGGCTTGGGGGAGAGGAGGGAGTGATTGGTTGGCCTCATCAAAGACATTTTCCTTCTAGGTCAAGGGAGAACTGATGAGGAACAACAGAACTTCTCAGAGATGAGCCGCCTCCACTCCACAGTGCCCTGAGATTGATGACTGCTGTCACCAGGATAAGGCCATGGGGGTAGGGAGTTTGGGAAGTGGTACTGCCTGGTCTCAATCACATACCTATGTTCATAATGCTATCCTTGTCTGGACTAAAGAACAGCCAGTCGTAAAACAAAGCCAGCTTGGCATTAGAGGCAGCAACATTTGACTGGAAAAGAGAGGGGGGAAAAGGGCTAGTTTCATCAGTCAGCTCCCTTCCTTCTAGAGCCTAGGGCCCACTCGGCTGCTCCATCTAGTAAATTTAGTTCCCAGTGAAACAGGAGAGACCCCACAGGTGTGAGGGGCACACAAGTCTGTATTACATGTGGTTTTACCAACCAAGGGGACAGAGAGGGGCCTGGGTTCTTCATGTACCCCACAGCACACACCCCTAATTCCCATAGGGAGCACACTGCTGAGTAACCTTGAGTTGAGGCAATGCTCATTGACGCCTCTAGCTGCCTTTGCTGAACCCAGGCACATTCCTGAAGAGACCCCTAGAAATAGCCCATTATCTTTTGAATCAGCACATTCCAAGGACACCATAAAATAGGGGAGAGGGATCTTGTTAGAATTCTGAGTTTAAAGGGCAGTTAGATGCCAGAGAATGGATGGTTTCTCACCCAGCACAGGGAAAAATATGTTGGGAAGGAAATGGTTCCTTTAATAGGTCTTACTGTTATTTGGGAAACATATCCAAAGCTGATACCAAAAGTCACAGAGGGGAGAGTATAAAGAAAGCAAGCCAGGCAGGTGTGGTGGCTCATGCCTGCTATCCAGCACTCAGAAGGCTGAGGCGGCAGGGCTGTTACATGTTTGAGGTCAGTCTGGGCTGCAAGACCTTTTCTCCAAAAATCAAACAGAAGAATGAAAGCCCTGAACTGGAACAGGAAGCAAGAAAAGTAACTACATGTGGTTTCTAGAAAGGAAGGAAAAAGGCAGGAAAGCCTCAGGGACCCAGGCAGGGATATGGTAAGGAACCCAGACCTTGAGTTGGGTATTATGGTGCACACCTAATTCCAGACTGAGACAGGAGGACTATAGCCTGCCAGAGTAGTGAGATCAAACAAACACACAAACAAATCTAGGCTTTGGGGCTTGGTGGTAAAGAGGTTGATGAACCTTATTCAAACCAAAACCTACATCAGAAATAGTGACTCAGTTTCTAGAGACACGAAGAGAGGCTTTCAGGAGACCACAATGAAAGGGTGTTTTGGGCTAGGATGGCCCTGTAGAGTCAGGAAGGATGGTGGAAATAAAACATGATGGAGAGGAACCATTCACCACCCAGCATTCCCTCCCCAAGGCCCAGCCCTTTACCGTGCATGTTGTCAGGAGCCATCCAATGATGGCCCATCGGGGCAAGATATCCGAACTCAGCACTTCATTAGAGGGATGGACTACCCCACAGATATATCGAATGAGGTCGCAGCGCAGAGACTGACTGTCTGGGGTTGAGAGGTACTGGCGCTGGAACCAATCTTGGTATCGCTTTTGTTGGCCAAACCGTACCTGAAGGAGGAGGAGGGAGTTGGAAAAAGAAACTTGGCAGGGAGGGTGGGATCGCATCTGAAGGTAAACGAGCACCACTGAACCCTAGGCTTGACTTAGACGGGCATGTCTTCTGACAACATATTTATCAGGTCATGTTGTCTCTTGAGTACCCTCTCTTTTTGGGGTGCTGCCTGATTTTAACAAATGTTGAAGCCCTTTCTAGCTTGCCTTGCATGGCAGTGGTACACTGTCCTTGCCTCTGACTGATGCCACGCTGACCTCCAAAGGCAGCTGTAGCCCAGTTTTGGCTGTTCGCGCCTGTACTAGTCACTGGTTCTCTGGTCAAAAGCATCTTTTTTACTGTCTTGAGGCACTGCTTTGCTAAGACTGTTCCCTGAGAGCAAGAGCTAAGCCTCAGCACTGACTGCTTCCTGGTACCGAAAGACCGCAAAAGGATAATTATCCTAGGCACAAACTCTCCAGACCTTGCAGTAAGTCCTTCTCCAAATGGACCTCAAATTCTTACAAACAGCAACACTACAGCCAGGCATGGAGGCTCACACCTGTAATCCTAACACTGAAAAAGCTGCTGCTCGAAGGGTGTGGTTGTGCACTCCCAGCACTTGGAGCAGACAGATCTCTGTGAGATCAAGGCCTGGTTTACATAGCAAATTCCAGGTCAGCTGAGGCCACAGGGACCCTGCTCAAAAAAAGTTGATGCAGGAGGATTCTTGGCTACATAGTGAGACCCTGTCTCACCCAGTCTCCAACCAACCAACCAACCAACAAAATAGCATCATTAAATGGAGGGTCTGGTTTTCTCTTTTATTATCTATCAGAAGATAACAAAATAGAACAGGAAGATAACCAAAAAATGCTTCTAGAGCAATGCTGTTGATAGGCTTTGTCACAGTGATGGTGGCTACTGAGCACTTGAAACCTAGCAACTGTGACAAATATAACAAATTTAAAGTTTGCTTATTTTAACATGTATGTGTGTGTGTGTGTA